GCTTCACCAAATATTGTTGGGTGTATCTGATGACACGTAAGTCTGAGTTCTTTTTCATTTTCACTATTTTTCGTGCTATGGTACATACTCAATATCCTTCTATTATCAAATACTTCTGTTGTGATCAAGGTATAAAATATTCTTTTAGATCATTTTGTGATTTGTTGAAATCTGATGGTACTATTTATCAGTCTTCTTGTACCGACACAGCTGCTCAGAATGGAGTGGCTGAACGGAAACACCGTCACATTATTGAGACAATTCATTCTCTATTGTTGTCATCCAATGTCTCTAGCTCTTTTTGGGGAGAATCAGTCCTTACAGTAGTTCACCTGATTAATTGTATTCCTACAATCCTTAATTCTGGTGTCTCACTTTTTGAAAATTATGTGATAAGACACTTGACTATTTCTCCTTACGTGTGTTTGGATGTGCATATTTTGTTCTGCTACCTAGTGTTAATCGTATCAAACTCTCGACTTGCTCAGCCTTATATGTTTTTCTAGGATACAATGAGGGACAAAAAGAATTTCGGTGTTATGATCCTCGCACACAAAAACTCTATGTTTCTCGGCATGGAACATATTCCCTTTTTCCCTATTCTATCTAGTTCTTAATCTCTACATAAATCTGATCTTATCTATCTTGATCACTTTCCCTCTAATGTTTCCCCTAACTCATATGTTGGTGATATGACTATGGCTGCTCTTCCCCCTCTTCTTCTTCCTCTTTGCCTGATGTGTCTGTTACCCGCCCCCGATTGTGCATACATATGTTTGCAGGACTCCCACTGTCTCTTCCACAGATATTGTGCCTTTATCTAAACCTCGTGCCTCCTAATCAAATTCTAACACCGTGCATCACACTCCTCGCTACCCTCAGCGCATTCGAAAGTGTCGTGACAGGTTTGATTGGTCTAACTCTTGTTACTCTTCTGATTTTTGTTCTTTCTCGACTTCTATACATTCTCTGTTTGAACCAACCTCCTATAAGGAGGCCATACATGATCCTTTTTGGCAACAGACTATAGATGAGGAGCTTTCTGAGTTACATAAGACTCAAGCTTGGGAGTTGGTGTCTTTACCTCTTGGTAAATGTCCCATTGGTTGTAAGTGAGTTTTTAAAATCAAAACCTAATCTGATGGTTATGTGGAAAGGTACAAGGCTAGATTAGTGGCCAAGGAATTTGCTCAAGAGTATGAGCTTGACTACGATGAGACCTTTGCTCTAGTGGCTAAGATGACCACGATTCGTACCGTAATTACTGTGGCAGCTATTCGTCAGTGGAGCTTCTCTCAGATGGATGTGAAAAACACTTTTCTTCATGATGATTTATTTGAAGAGGTCTATATAACTCCTTCTCCTGGGTTGTCTTGTAGTCCTGGTCATGTGTGCAAACTTCACAAGACTTTATATGATTTTAAACAGGCTCTGAAGACATAGTTTACAAAATTTTCTTCAGTTATATGTGACTTAGGCTTCTGTGCTAGTGATCATGATTCTGCTCTATTCCTTCGATCCACTTCTTCTAGTTTCATTATTCTATTACTTTATGTGGATGACATGATTATTACAGATGATGACAATGCTGAAATTCAGCTATTGAAAACTTAGTTACAGGATTATTTTGAGATGAAAGATTTTGATCCATTTCGATATTTCTTAGGGATTGAGGTTTCTTCTTCTCCTAAGGGTTATCTTTTTTCTTAGTCAAAATATGCCTCGAATGTTATTCAGCGAGTTTGTTTATCGGATACTCAAACGGTTGACACATCCTTGGAGCTCAACGTTCGTTATACTTCCTCTGATAGTTCTTTTATGCCTAATCCTATTTTATATCGTACTACTGTTGGGAGTTTGGTGTATCTTACTGTTACTCGTCCAGATTTTGCTTATGCGGTGCATGTGGTTAGTCGATTTGTTGCTGCTCTTACTACACGTCACTGGTCTGTTGTTCTTTGAATTTTTTGATATTTGCGGGATATGTTGCATCAGAGTTTACTATTTTCTTCCTCATCGTCTCTGAAACTTCGTGCTTACTCTGATGCAAACTAGGCTGGTGACTCTATGGATCGCAAGTTTATTATTGGTTTCTGTCTCTTTTTTGATGATTCTCTTATTTCATGAAAAAGTAAAAAATAAACTATTGTGACTCGATCCTCTTCTGAAGCTGAATATCATGTTATGACCTCCACAACAGCAGAGATCGTTTGGTTGCGTTGGCTACTAGCTAATCTTGGCATTTCATTGTCTGATCCTACTCCTATGTATTGTGATAACACCAGTGCCATTCAGATTGCCTATAACTCGGTGTTTCATGACCGCACAAAACATATTGAGATTGATTGTCACTTTGTGCGCCACCATCTTCGGCTGGGCACAATATCTCTCCTTTTTCTTCTTTCTACTATACAGTTGACAGATTTCTTTACGAAATCTCACACCATCGCACCCTTCCGTTTCTTTCTTGGTAAACTTTTGATGTTTGATACTATCACATCATGAATTTGAAAGGAGATGTTATAATATTTATATTATGAGTAGTTTAAGTATTTTACATTATTTTGTTACCATAATATATAAGAGCCTACATTGTGTATCTGTGTTAAGGTTGTATCACTAAATGAATTAGTCTTAACATCATTCTTGACCCTCTCTCTTTTTCTTCCCTTTGATCATTGTTCACACTCTCTATGTCACCATGTATCGTGGGCTGAACTCCTTGTGTTCTACTGATCAATAGCTTTCTCCCTTTTTGTCTGATTTTCATTATAAGCTCATGTACATTTTTATGCTATATATAAGTATATTTATTTTAGTAGAAGTATATTTGCATTTATAGAATTTTAGTTGTTGAATAGGGGACCTGATAGCACGAATAGACTTGTTAGACAAGACTCAAGACCACACATAAACATAAATAATATAAATATAAATGAAAAGCAAAATTAGCGGGATGAGCAGAATCCGAGACGAGATGATATGTTCAAAAAAAAATTAAAGATTATAATTACATTTCAATATAGTTCACATGATATGAACGCACGTGTGCACCACATTCCTAGAAATTCTTAGGGGAAGACTTTGTAACTAAATATTCATTACCTGGTCAAGCAATACGGCAATGGTTCAAGCCTTGCCAATGACCCTTAATGAGGTCCAATAATGTACATCTTGTACGTTAAATATCATCATCACCATTCTTATATAGAAAATCCAGGACTAACTAAAATCAAGAAACGTTTGCATAGATGCAAAAAATTCTTTTCGCTGGGATAGGAATCTATTCCACTGCATTTGATTTGGGGTTGCTAAATCTAAGAGATTATCCATTGTAATTTACAGTAGATTGTCGGAATTCGGACAATAATTTACCCTAATAAACTTTATTTTAATTACTTTCTACCTTATTGTGGCATATAACTCATGATTATAGGGCAATGGCTAACTTATTTGTGAGAACAAAAATTGCAAGCATCCCAACACATTTTTCTGAATTACCATATCTCACTAGTCACAAATATTTGAACCATCATGCGGAGCTTAGGCTAGAGCATAACTAAAAAACCACCACCCTTAAATTGGAATCGAAAATTAAGAGGTTTAGTAATTGTTTTTGTCTTGCATTTTATATTTTTGTTTTCAATTTTTGTCAAAAATGAAAACAAAAATATGGTTGGGATACTATTTTTGTTTTATATTAATTTTTTGGAAACAAAGACAAAAAAATGGGAACAAAAAAAAATGTTTCGAAAAACCCTAAAAACAGAGACAACACGCGCAAAAAATGGTGAGAATTAATGAGATCCGGATTTCGACTCCTTTTAACAGTAAAATAAGCCTTTTTTTGTTGAAGTATAAAAACCTATTTCACCCCCTCTCTCCTCCCCATCGCTTTCCTCTCTCTCTCTCGCTCTCTCCTCTTTCCCTCATCTCTTCTTTCTCTGTATCATACCACATGCCTCCATCGCTGCCTCCTCTCTCCTTTCTCTTTATGAAACCCAGAAGTTGTGAACCCACCTTAATCGCTGTCTCTCTCCTCTGTTCTATCTCCCTCTTCTCTGTGAAACTCATAAGCTGTGCATATATATGCACTCCATTGTTGCCTCTAGACGAATCGCCACCTCCGTTGTTGCTTCCTCTCTCATTTCTCTGTATGAAACCCAAAAATTGTAAAACTCACCTCCATCGCTACCCCTCTCTCTCTCCTTTCTCCCTCTTCTCTGTGAAACCCAGAAGTTGTGCATATATATGCACATATCTGTACATATATACACAGATCTGTGTGTGTATGTATAGTGTTAGTTTGATATCTATTTTGCGTGTGTGTATGTGTTGTGTTGAATTATTTAGGATTGATTGAATTATCATTTGGATTAAATTGTTATTTGTAACTGATTGAATTTCATTTTGAATTGTTGAATTGTCATTTGGGATTTAATTATCAAATAGATATCAAACATATTTTAGATAAAATTGAAAGTGGATATTAAACATATTTTTTTATTTTTATTCTCATAATTTGATAGACAAAAATGACTGTCAAACATGTTTTTATTTTAGTATTTATTATAAAACAGAAACAAAAATTATCTCTATTTTTAATTTTTTTAAAGACGCGAAAACAAAAACGTTACCAAACGACCCTTAAAACTTCATTCCCTAATCAAGTAATACACCAATGGTTGCACAGTGCCAACACACAAAACTTGGGGGTGTCTAACAGAGAAGGGTGAAGGAGAGGTGTGTCAATTGAAAGACGATACTAATTATGAATTGGGAGGATTTTTTTTAAAAGTAAAATTGTTGGCATTTCGATTGGTAATTGGTACAGTCATTTCAATTTGATGAATTAATTGCCGGAATGTGTATCGCCACAAACAGAGAATTAGAAGAAAGAGAATAGGGATTGTAAACTGATTTCTGTAATGGCAAAGAGAGTAGGGTATTTTGATCAGTAACTGAAATCTACAATTGAAGAAGTCCTTAAATCTCCGCTAGGAAAAAATAAAAAAGTAAGAATGCAGCAAACAAACCATTTTTGTGAATACAAGATGCAGTTTTTACTGGGTCAGATTCCAAGATTGAACACACATACCGCTCAAGGCCTCTCGCTTCCCCTTAAAAGCCACTTCGCAAGGAAAAAAGTTGGAAAGTTGAAACCACGCACTAGATCATCTAAACATCAAATCAGAGACGAACAAGATTTTCTGTACGACCATACTTTACATTGCTAAAAACAGATACTGTTGGCGGGTTTCATCTAAACTTCGCATAATAACACTGCAAGTGGCTTACATAAAGTATACCACAAACTTTTTATTTTTTGGGGTTTTGGTTTTGGGGGTTGGGGAGGGGGAGGGGGTGGGGGGAGGAGTAAACAAGGTAAAATTTGAACAGATAGAAGCAAAAGGTTATTAGATGAGGCAATTCTTTAGTCGAAGTTATAATGCTTGTCCACAGCTTCGGAGACATCCCAACTGCAGCTCATTCCTTTTGGAAACTCAACCAAGTCACCAGCACCAATCTCGACGGCCTCCTTAGACCCGTCTGGGTAAACCTGCACCTTTCCCTTCAGAAGGAAGCATGTCTCCTTGGAAGAGTAAGTCCAAGGGAATTTGCTTGGAAGGCATCCCCACCTATTTACTCAATACAGCATCCATCACATTAATGTATCAATAGCCAGATTGCCATAAAAAATTATAAGAATACTACTATACAAACATAACGACATCATGCATGCATCTTAAAACTCGCAATTGGCAGCAAATGTTTGACTCTTTTTTTTAGCAGGCAGTCACAATGCATGCAAAGTTCGTCCCTTATGCTTTAACCACTCACAATGTTGATGAATTACACCCATGTATATCCACAACTTAAAAATGTGTGTATACACACATAAATATATAAATCAATATAAACACACAACCATTAACAAATAGGGGAGTACGTAAAATTTTGAAACCTCTTTCATGTCTTTTTATACATTGCCTCCAGTGCATGAATAAACAAAATGGCATAGAGACAGAATAGATCTGCTGCTGAGAAGAATACTCCGCCACTCCAACGAACAAAAAAGCTCCACTGTACAACGTTTCAAAATTTGACTAACTTCAGATCGACCAACATTCACAGGTAAATGCCATGAACAGTGAGATGGTGCTTGTCAAGTTTAACGATATGGTCATGATAAAGTAACCTGGCTGTTAAACGAAACAATTCGATTGGGCTCAGTCTCGACTCGTTCAAACTCATTCGTATGGAATATGATCCAATTTTAAGGTTGTTCAAAATAATCCAACCTCCAGTAACGTGCCACTTCAGTTGGTTAACTTGAACTCGATTCATTTATAAAGTAAATATTCTTGGTGTGAAAGCAACAAAGTAACACCCTTAGGATGATAGACAAAGGGTTGTTAATTAAGAGATTAAGAGTTCAACTCTCCTTGAACTGGTATCTAAGCTCGAATTCTAGCTCACAGTACAATAGTAAGTTGAGCAGAACCTGAACTTATGGTCCAGAAACCGAACCGAGCTTGAGCCAAACTCGACCTTGTATTAATCACTCGAGCCAATCCTAAACAAGCCAAAAGAGCTCAACTCGACTAACACAACAAACCTTTTTATAAGGTATTTAAAGGGGTCAAGTAGAGACCATGCCTTGTTTCAACAACATTTCACTCTTGCTCTTTAACTTTTAGTGGGTTATAAGCAATTTCCCAAGATGAGGCAGCATGTTCAGCAATGTGCAACTCAATTTGGTAGACTTGAGCTTGATTCGTTAAAATATAAGAAATTTCCATGTTGACAAAACAACAATGCAGCACCCTCAACATGATAGATGAAGCGCTTGATTTTTAATCAAGAGATTGTAGTTTCAAATCTCAATAGGCGGGTGCTGCTTGGATTTAGTTTGGATTTAGTGTAGCCTAAACTTGAGTCTAAGCTCAAATCAGAGCTCATTGTACAAAAATAAGTTGAGCGAAACCTGAGCATCGAGCCTATAACGTTCAACACTATCTAACACTAAGCATACTAAAACTTAAAATGCTTAGCTCGATTAACACCCTTGACCTTAATATAAGGCATTTAAAGAGGCCAACTAGAGACCTTTCCTCGTTAAAAAAACATTTCACGCTTATTTTTTTCCTGGCTAAGTCCAACATTTCACTCTTACTCTCGAACTTCTAGTACGATATCAGCAATTTTCCAACTTGAGGCAGCATTTACAGTAAATGGAATCGTATGATTTATAATTTTTTCCCACATGGCTACTAAAAAATTGATACAATAGAGAAAGTCCAATTTCTATTAAAAATTTATTGCTTTTGTTTTCGTATCTTATTGTTGATACTAAAAATTAAAAACAAAACCAAAAAAAAGTTTATGCTAAGCTTAAGAAAAGGTCCTAAAAGGTTTTTACTAGGCTACCATTGCCCACGCAAAGATGAATAAGATGTCTTGTTAGACTTGGGATTAGGATCACATGTGACATGACTCAGTCCCAAATCATAAGAAAGTGCAGGAGCCTTGACCACAAAAAAAATGTATGGACTAGTTGAGAGATTGGAAAAATGTTTTTCACAAAATAGAGATTATACCGTAATTAGAGACAAGCCTCAAGCATCTCTATATAATTCCCCTAAAATAGTATCTATTACAGGCCAGAAAACATGCCACTGGAAAAAGTATTTGGATACTGTACAGCCTTCAAGCAAAAATAGATGAAACAAAGAGCAATATCTTAGCCAAGAATTAGATAGCATTTGGTGAACTTCATCGCAGAGAAAACAAAGATGTAAATACATCCCATTGGAAAGAACAATACCTTTTTAAAGTTCTAAACCTAAATCAAAGAAGATACAGTTTTTCATCCAATAACAGCATAAAACCAAAGATTAGAGAGAGAGAGAGAGATACTTGGGCCAAGATCGGACGCCGAGCTCAGTGAGCTTGGACTCAGGCGGGTTTTTCAATATCTTGATACCCAATTTCTCAGTAGCCATGCTTTCTGTTTCAGCTGCTCTGATTACTAATATTCTGTGGTGGGCTATCGTAACTGAGTTTGGTTTGCTAGAGTTGCCTACCCTGGAAACCCTCGACAATTTTGGTGTAGAAAAAGAAAAAACTGGAGAGACCGAGGAGTGTTTGGTTATGGCTTCAGGGCTGTAAAGATTAGAATTACAGACTAGTCCAGCAGCCTGATTTATTATGCTAGCACTAGCTGTAGTAGCAGCACTAATACCGAGACATGCCATTGGAAATGCAAACCTTCCGGAAATTGTGGAGGAGAAGGTGGGCTGGGTTATCCTCTGGCTCATAAAAGTGAAATGGATTTAATAATAGAACCCATTGGTTCATTAGTATCCACTTGTTTCTCCTCATCGTTCCAAGATAAAGCAACTAATAGTTTTGCCAATTACCATGAAGAATTTTTAGACAACCAATTTTTTTTAATTTCTAAAACTTCAACAAAAAGAAATGAGAATAATTACATTATCTTCCCTGGCGTTTATTCAAATAATGATAGGATCCCTTCATGTATGATATATTGCTACAAACTTCCGTTATTAGATGTTGATAATATGTTCCCCATTTGTTAATGTTTCTGTTGAAAATCAGAAATGAAAAAGAAATACGAAATGTGGATTGTCCATCACGACGAAACACGTAAGGTTAATTCAATTTGACAATAGAACAAACATTAATTTTAACTTAATTCGACCACAATTATCTTTTTTAAAATTAATTGTACAAATAAGTGTGAAAATCTCTTTTCAACAAGAACAACCCAAAAATCCCATCATGTAGATTGAAGTAATGGATTTGTCAATTGATGAATAACACTAATTCCCCACAATAATCCCAACCAAGACAAAATTACCAAAACCACTTTTACCAAATTGAAAGATAAACAATTAAATCATTAAACTCATGTGTGCATCAATTGCAAGTGTGTAAGCACCTTTAAAGCAAATATGAAGACAAGCAATTGTTGACGCAAAAACCAACATAGAAAAACGCCAAAGAATCAATTTATAACCATAAAGCTCATTACAAATCTACTTTCCATTGACATAATATGCAAGTTAAATAATGGCAAATCTCTGTTTCTCTTAGCTTAATTTACTGAATTATTCTCATTACAACAAATCAATGAAGTTGAGGGAAATTACTTAATTTTCTCAAGATTCAAAAACCTGGGAGAAAGAAGGATAGGCATATGTAGGTAGAACTACAGGGTAAGAGTTCTAACAGAGGACATGGGATCACTTATGTTGCAACTGTGAAATGTTTCATATATATATGAATAACAGGTGACTTGAACTACTTATTCAACACATAAAAGGAACAAGGGTTCACAAAAAGATTTCAAGTCACCTCAAATCTAAATAATTATGTCGATAAACCGGAAATCTAACAGCATCTATTGATGTGCTATAGATGACATACAGTACAAGAATGCTTCACATTTGAATATTTCAATACCATAATTAACTTTGTCTCAGATTTTGAGTAACACCAAGGCATTAGAAAACACCTTGAAGAGCTGATACTTTCCAGGCGTTTCAGATCCTTCATGAGACAGACAACTTGTATCAATCTGGAGACAGTGAAAGAATCTTGCTAGCTCATGAAAGTGTAATACAAACCATTCCAAGACACTTCATTTGAATTTGAAAAGATTAACTGGGTGAAGTTTGGAAATACTTAACGGGAGCCTGGCCACAATTTTACTGAAAACCCATGCTCACTCATGCTGCCACTAGAAAGCCCTCTTAATCTTTGCCAAAACTGTCTCCTCCTCCCCATTTTCAAAGGAGCAGAATTAAATTGCCTCCTAAAAGACCCAAATTCATGTCCCTCAAATCCAGCCAGCATACTTCTTAAATCTGAAGCTGATAAGGCCATCTTACTTTCAAAGATAGAATCATAGCCAAGCATTGGGTAATCAGTCCGTGAAGCTTCCACAAGCTCACCTGAAGCTGTGCTACGCTTACTAGCTATATCAATAGAAAAGTCTTTTTGGCTGCAGCTTCTTGATATGGGCTCCCTTGTCTCATCAAACTCGTTGCAAACAAGCTTTAAGGCTTGAACAACTTCGCCCATAAAAGGACGGTGGGATACTTCTGGTTGCACACACATTGATGCAATTGCTGCTACTTTGGCCATGCCATCAAACTGGAGATCTGACTTTACAGCTGGGTCAAGGATTGCTTTTAAGCCCTCTTTACTTGTGAGGAGTGGACGAGCCCAAGCAACAAGATTTTCTTGACCTGGGGGCTGTGACAAGTCTACGGGTTTTCTTCCAGTTAGAAGTTCAAGGAGAACTACACCATAGCTGTAAACATCGCTTTTCACAAGCAGATGGCCAGTCATTGCATATTCCGGAGCTAAGTAACTGGATAACAAGAAGTTCGTAAGTCACGAGGGATAAGACTTGAAAGCACGATAATACAAAGAATGCACAAAAGGGAACTATAGTATGCAGGCAGGGATCCACTATTAAGTTCACAGCAAGAGGGATGGCTCAAAAGGACATGTCACTATAATTTGGGGCTAGCAGTGTGAATCCAATGGTGGTACATACACAAGCAATATATTTGAATATAGGAAGTGCATACCCAAAAGTCCCCATGACATGTGTTGATATGTGTTTGGTTTCCTCATCCAGTGCTGTTCTAGCCAGCCCAAAGTCTGAAACTTTAGGTGTAAAATCTTGTTCAAGCAGAATGTTGCTCGACTTGAAGTCTCGGTGTATTACACGAGGGCTTGAGTCTTCATGCAGATAGGCTAAGCCCCGAGCAGCACCCAGGGCAATCTTCATTCGGGCACACCAATCAAGAGGAGAAGCTTCCTTGTCAACTCCTGAGAATGGACAAAAATGGCAAATATAAAAAGTCTCGTCAGAAGAATCTAATCGTACGAGACATTTAAGAAGTTTTAACTAAATAAATGCAAAATAATTAAAGAGCACAACTTTCATTAGACTTGAATCTACCATGTAAATGGGATTCCACACTTCCATTGGGCACAAGTTCATAGACCAGGCAACGGCAATGGTCCTCTGTGCAGATACCAATCAACTTGACTAAATTTCTGTGGTGCAGGCGACTAAGCATCTCGACTTCTGCCAAGAATTCACGACTACCATGATGATCATCTCTTTTAAGAACCTTGAAAGCCACCTTTCTTCCATCATCAAGAATGCCACTATATACAAGTCCAAAACCACCTTCTCCAAGTATTCTTGATGCATTAAAGTAATCAGTGGCTCTTTCTATGTCAGTCAAACTGAAAATCTTAGCAGTTCCAGTGTACGCCATTAGGCTAGAACCAAAGGACATAGATGCTGAACTAGCCTGACATCCTAGCATCAAAGCACCTGCTGCCCCTGTTGAATTATTACTTTTGTTAGTATGAATTCCACATTATCCAAGGGAGAGGAGACTAAAAACAGGAGTGAATAGCAAAATGAGTCAGAAAGCCAACTACCAAGACAAAAGTCGGGAAGTTGCAAGAATGAGTAGGAATTGGAAATCAAATTCATTTGGATATCATTGGATCCACATGGAGCAAAGCAACAACTACATTTTTTACACATTTCTGGCAAATCCAAATTAATTGGATGGTATTTGGATATACAATGAATGACAATGTAATGCACAATTTGACTTCCCAAAGTATTTGTTGAGTTATAAGATTTGATCATAATGGTAATACCTGATGGTTTTCCATGGGAAGCAACCAGAACATGTGGAGTGTGTCCAGGTTGATGAAGGCAGACCCCACATTTTGATAACAAAAGCCAAATAACTCCCATGCATACAACAAAAGCTGTGATAGATGATAGAACAATCACAGCAATCATGCCTCCTCCAATCCCATCCTTTCTTCTCCTTGGCACATCAACCCCTAATGGTTTTACTGTCATTCCATCATTAGGATGGTGGGGATATGGCTGGTCATCTATAGTTGCAGCGCTTGAAGGCTTCGAAGGTGGAGAGGGTGGGAGACCTATATAGATATAGCTTGTGAGTATCTCATAAGCACATAGCTAAGTACAAGATTTAGCCCTGAAAAAGACACAACAATGTCCACAAGCAGCTTCAATAGTAAAAAAGAAAGAAAAGAAACGTCCGAATATTCTGTTTCCAAGCTGCCTACTTTATACAAGATGGGCAAAGCAGTGTGTGAATTGTGGGGTATATAGCTTTCAACAAAAGGATCTGAATTCTGAAGTCTGCCTTTTAGCTCCCCGAGAATAAAGGGGAATGGTGATAACGATTGTTTCTGGAAATTGTTCTATTAGTACATTTCTCAAGTTTCTAAACCTGAACACAGCTTTATACAGAAATTTATGGTGAACATTTAGTAATTGATGATTTCAGAAACAACTGAGGATTGAATGAACCTGGATAGTGAACATACACCACTTCATAGGCACCAAAGAGGGAAGTCTCTATGAAAACATGTCTCTTCCAGAACTTCTGGTAGATGAAAAATGCAGTCGTGGCATTGAACTTTTCTTTTAATGGAACCAAGTTAATGATGATAATGGTTTTCTCTAGCTGCTGACTGGCTGCATTTGCTCCCATAATGCGAACTTGACTTCGGTTTAGTGAAACACTGGCCGCAATTTCCTTGGCCAGCTCTGAGACCAAAGGGAAAAAGGTATATAGGGCAACACTAAGGCGCAGTCTAACTTCAATAGGCCAAACACAACCACATGGTGATCCAGGAGGTGTATATGTCAATGGTTCTGTGCACGCGACCGATGTACAATCTACAAGTAGGGTGAGACACAACCGTTACCATCAGTGATGATATTAGGTTGACACCAAATTCTAGAGGAAGCTAGTCAGAGATATAGAATTAAGGGCCAAACATATAAGTACCTTCATTAGGAGGAGGTGGAGGCAGTGCCAAAACTGGAGAGGGTGGTGGAGTCTTATTCCTTTTCAGCACATAGCTCAATGGAGAAATCGTTGGTGGATGTGTAGGCACTGAAACCACAGAACATTGTCAACAAATTGGATATTTCGATAACTTCCACTAATGAAGTAGAAAACTCTATACTAGGAATGATAGACGAAATGGACTTTTGCATACTTTCAGATTGGCTTGATGGAATTATAGGTGATGGTGCAGCAGCGGGCGAACCCCATTTCTTTGACGAAGGGAAGGAAGAATGAAATGAGGAGATTGAATGGCCTACATTTGTATGCAAAATAGTATATTCCAAAGGGTCAGTATACTGTTTGTCCAAAATAAAGCAATATGGGATAGCTAATTGAGGCAATTTCGGTTACAATGACCAACTGAATGAAGAACGTCAGTGATACATATTGTCAAAGTAAAGCATTGCAGATAATTTTATAGAGAAAATTTTCAATTAGGATAAAACCTTGCTGGCTATGTGGGGTAGTAGGAATCTGATTAGATGGCACAGGAGCAGAGGCAAAGTGGCTGAATTTGTGCCTTCCATGATGATGATGTTTGTAGAATGAGACTGAAGGTGAAGATGCAGAATCACGTATCCGTTTCTTGGCAGGCTGTTTGACAGAAGGCATGGAGGGTGCATGTGCATTGTTGGAGGGAACCATCGCATTGTCATGAGTGGTGGCTATGACAGGAAGAAAATATTTGAACATTAGTAGATATAAGCATGAATTATAGATTCAGTTTTAAGGATTGCATGTAGAAAATAAGCATGAGATTGACTGATTTCAGGAGTCTCAACATTCTAGGACATATATATGTCAGCATTCAATAGTTTGCAGTGTTGCAAAACAATTGTTGTTGACCAAGAAGCTGAAAGCAAATAAATATATTGATGCAGCTCTACTCAGTTCTTCACAATTAGATGGCATGGTCAAACAATATTCAAAGACGTTAGTGGTTGGTTAGGCAGCAGAGGCTTTGATCACATGTAAAAACTGGAAGGTGGAAAAATCAGGAGCCAGCCTCAAAAGGTTCCAGGATCGTAATGGCATCAATCAGTAGCAATTTGTAAGTCACTTAGTGAGTAAAAATTACCATTCTGCAGGAGTGTTGGACTTGGTCTGATGGTTGTGTAAGACCTTGGGTTGGTTGCTCCTACTTTAAAATGAAGAAGCCCAGAAGCTGCCGTGAGAGAAGGTATATAAAAGCCTGAAACCGAATACAGATTGGATATATATATCTCGGTCAGGAATTCACTGACTGACACTATTTGTAATCACAGTTCAAACCAATTAAATGATAAAGAACTGGGACAGATTAAACAACTTTTCTTTTTGAGGAAAAAAAAAGGAGAAATCAAGCATACAAGATGTCCAGTAGTAACATACATGATCCAAAGCTCAAAAATCAAAATTGAAAGCAATCATAAAGTACTGAATAGGGATCTAGGAAAATAAATTACAGCTCGCGTGGACAGTTCCTTAGGGGTGGTTGAGGAGAGGAACAATCTCGTCTAGTAAATTGAGCAAGAAATTTATGATTTGGAGTATTGATATGATTAGGAGAGAAACTCAAATAGTTTTGGGGAAACTATAACAAAAAAAGACATTGGTGGTTCCAGGAAACCATTGCACAGAGCTGAAAATTCATTAGTGCAAATGGCTGGATAACCAGGGATGGAAAAAAGTTGTAACTAGCGGGGCTATAGGTTATGGAAATCTGGATGTTCAACCAATATTAAACTATAACTTCTCTGCCCTCAATAGAGTGCTCCCCCAGCCACCCGAAAAAAAAAAAAAAAATTGGATGCCAATATTGTTCAGTCCCTGATAACACATCCGTCAGTGTTAAGGGACGAACCAGCACCAACTTTTCTACCCTTGAAATAGTACTTCAATGTTTACAACATGTTGAAAAAACCAGATAACAATGGTGTGCATTATTAGGAAAATTGGAAAAATTCAAGCAACACTTCCAGACTGATTAATGTGGCAAAATTAAGTGCCCTGTAACCCCCTCCCTACTCCCCAAACAAAGCCTAAGAAAACAAAAACGTGAAAAGAAATATGGCAAGATTCATCTAAAAGAATTTTTGACTGTAAGTTCGCATCATCCAGAACTAAAAATGCTTGAAATTTAAGAATGTTGGCTGTTTAGCACTGCTTTTCTTTTGAAATCTACATGGACAAAATCAAATTCCGTTGAATGTCTGCTAGATAACTTCAGATTCAGGGTAGATCTTCTGCATTCTTATACTTTTTAATTCATTGCCATTCAAAGAAAAAAGCAATTAGAATTCATAGAGTTTGACAATAATTCTAAAGCTTAATGCTTAAACATGAAGCAGTGAAATGAAGCTTACCCAGAATTCCAACTAGCAAGTAGCAACTAAACTAATATCAGAAGAATCCCATTTCCAATGCATATCAATCCTCGAAGAACTAAACTACATTGAACCTCAATCACATAAGCGACCATTTATTCTAATTCTAGGTCAGAGAATAGTAAGTTTCATGATCTCGTACTCCACATTCAAATTCCACAAAACCCCCATGGAATTAACCAAAACAACTATATGGATCAACCAAAATAAAACTGTAAAACAACTTAAAACACAACAGAAAAGTAAAACAAACCCATTACCTGCACATCCATGAAGTGAAAGAGCACTGATCAACAAAAAGAATTTCATCAACAGACGAATCAGTTGTTGCATCCTCATCTCTCTCATAAAGTAACATTGAGATCAAACCTCAAGAATTTTCATCTCTCCCCCAACCATTCCAAGTGAGAAGAAACAGTGAAAAGAAAAAAAGAAAGATTTGAGTAATTCAGTGAAGTAGAACATGGGTATAGCTTAAAGGAACAACATAAAAATGATTAAATTACAGAAGGAGACCCACAAATATTTACTGGCAAGTAATGACAAGGTAGTGTGGTAGCGAATATACAAGAAGGGGTTAGGTGGAAAGAACCCAAGTTTTGTTCTTTTCATGTGGGTAAGCTCTGAAATTTGCAGAGCTTTGGTAGTTCTAATGGAATAGTGTCAGCTGACATGAGTGATTAAAAGTTTACTAACACTAATCAAGCAAAAAGCAGAACAGTACACTTACAGAGAGCTAAGTATCAGACACTTTAGAAAGAGAGGCCTGCTTGGAATGTGTGTGAGAGAGAGAGAGAGAGATTATGCTAAAAGTATTAAGGGTGATTGCAATGTTAGTTGAAACTTAGAAAATCCTTGAATTCTTCAGTTTTTGTTAATTGGAAATGCCTAACTTCTTGTTCAGTAGTCCCACATTGCAATCATTACATAATGGACCAATGTGGTCTTATAAGGATTATAAAAATAGACTTGTTTTAACATATATTTTCTTTACATATTTTTTTTTTTGAGTAACCTTTACATATTTATTACAAGAAACCAACTACAAAACGCTCCTATAACATATATGGATAGAATTAATTGTTTGTATTTTATAAAACATTACATCTCATTAATGGTAACCCATTTCATAATTGGACTGATTAAACAATATGTGAATTCCAATAAGATAGATTTTTTTTTTGTTCAATGGTCAAGAATATTTGGACTAATTTATGTACATTTTGATTAATTTTTTTCTTAATCTGGTCAAAAACATGTCATCTATTTTTGAATTAAAATATTTATAAGGGATAAATTCCTCATGATATGATCCTATGAAGTTGTTAAGATTTAAACTCAAAACGTTTGGATTTACAACGTATCCCTGTTACCACTTAAACTATCTCTTAAAATTAATAAATAAGATTTATCCACAACATTAACTTCAATTCAACACAAAATAAACTATACATGACTTACATAGTTTGAACAAAGAAAAATCTTATGTATACCAAAATTTTTATTAAAAAGTGTTTTAATTAAATGAGTTGATAGTTCGAGATTATTCTTGGACCTACTAAATACTGATTAAATTATTTATAATTAGATATAGAGTTGTCAATTCATTTGATAAAAATATTTTTTATTAAAAAATTTGATAAACATAGTATTAATCTTGAACACCGCACTATTTATTATAATTTTTAAAAAAGAATTGATTTGGATTAGATTTTATTACAATAAACCAAATCAAACGTAATCATTTCAGCACAGCTTGTCAGAGATTGACGGCCATACTCGAAATAAATTCAACCCAGCTTGAATTTTGGTGGTGGCGTGGGGGTTGTCGTCCCTATCTCCTTCCACGAGGCAGATTTGTTAGGTAAGCAGTGTTTGGAATGTGGTGTTGGAAACTACCGTTTTACATAATGACAATTTGATGCTGACGGTGGCAGCATCAACCATGGCATTTACTCACACCTTTCTTCCTTATGTGTCTCATGGGCCATATCTTAGATGTGTCGGTGAAAAATTGGATCTTTCGTTTTTTAAAGGGTAGTCTATCCACTAATATTGGTTTTAAGTCATCTCTCTCCACTTTTGCTCAATCAATGCTCTACCAATAAACCCATTTGTACCTTTGCATTGTGGGTCACTTCGCTTATTCAAAGTGTAGAGCAATAAAAAGGAAAAAGAAAAGGAAATAAAAAGTTCAAAAGAATGATAACATGGTTGGGTTGATAGATTTATCTTGATAATTATCACATGTATGTGAGATAAATGGACTACTAAGATTCTTATGAGAAAAGGTTTCCAAGCCTTTCTATGCATCATGCATTTACCCTTAATGCATAATTCTTAATGCATTATGATTAGTGTTTTTGATTTATGCGGTTGGTCATTATATAAAATAAATAAGAAATATTTTGTGTTAAATAACTAACAAACAAACAATGTAAAACTTCTCAGATCTCCGATGGGTGACATTGAATCATACAGAATTAATAGGACGTTCCTTTTTATTTTGTTGCCATGTGGTGATCCTGATCCTGCCGTCCATGAAGATCCTGTCCACTATCACCTCCCTGCCCCGACTTCTCTTTTGTCCCAGTGTTTACACTTTACAAAAGCCCCCCCACCAACTTATTTGAGAGATAATATAAACTAATCTTTGATAGAAAACCATTCTTGATTTATGGTCGTTAATTTGAACATCGTCGTCTCATTGATAAAAAAAACTCAAATGTGCATTTTATTAATATATTTGATAAATCAAATAAATTGTGATCTGTTTGCTCAATTTGAACCTTGTGATTTTTGACAGGCCCAACTTAGATCAAGTCTAGATCACAGATGTGGGTCAGACTCAAATCACTAATATGAGCTAGACCCAAATCACAAATACAGGCCAACAAAGGTTAAACTCACTATCTTAGAAGACCCAGTATAATATTAGCGTACGTGGAAATTTCCATCTTAGGAAGAAAATCATGACCACCTCGCCGGCTATACTGGCATCATGGAATCAACCCGTTCTTCGTTACGAGGGTGACACCTCAATCAAGGCTTCTTGTGATGACGCTTCAATCAAGGCTTCCTTTGAGGCACTATGAAATTTTACTCGCCTATAAATAGTAATCTCTATCTATATATGGGGACACATCCCAACATACCACACCTTGAGTAGTAAATTTTTTTTGTCACCGTCACCATTCCCAGTAGAGTAGATCATTCAAACTAAACCACCTAAGCATCCGCATCACATATACCATACACACCATCACACTCTTCATTAATTTTGCATAAACCCATTTTGTGCATCATATCAATTTCATTTATCATAATCCCACTTGCTAATGGGTACTCCCATACTAGGCAGTGTTGTTACGGTGCTATTAAGTTGGCCCATGAAAGATATGGGCTGGACCAGAAAAGACCCTCATGAACCTGTCTAAAAATGGACCAATTATATGTTAATGATTAAAAACTCATGTCTAATTATGTGTAATTGAATCATTTGTTCAACACATTTTATTTATTTCTTTTCTGTTTTATTTGGTACATGGGCCTACTGACCCCAATGCCACTCCTTCAATTCCAAAGATAGGCCAAGGGTGATATCGGACCGAGTTGGGCCCAATATATCTCCATGATTCGGAGATTATTTAGCTTGGGGAAACTTGTTTAGTAGCTAAGATGGCCAAGGCAACAAGCAAGACCCCGAATTGGTCTACTGATCTTGGCTTCGTTTTTCAAGGTAAAACAAAGAACTACCATTTTTTTTTTTAAGATAATAGGATGTAAGTACCTTTTTCAAAACTTATTTAATTTTAAGTATTACTTTCAAACTTATTCTCCTTTAAGTCTTTTTTTCATGAAATAGTTGTCAATAAGTACACATTTTCAAATTCTTTTTAAAATGTATTCCATAATTACTCATACTATAAATAGTGCATACCTACTTGAATGTGAGACTTTCAAGATTCTTTTTGATATTTGTGTATCATTTGAATTTTGAAATTTCATATATATGTACACACACACATATATAAAACAGTGATATCAAACAGTGACACGCTCAACAAAAATATTTGTGTTACTGTTTGATGTTACTATTTTTTTGTTAAGTGTGTTACTATTTTTTTGTTGAATGTGTTACTGCTTGATGTTACTCCTTTTTTGTTGAGCGTGTTATTGTTTGATATTACTATTTTTTTATTAAGCGTGTCACTGTTACATTGTCACTGTATTACGTGTGTGTGTGTATATATATATGAAATTTTAAAATTCAAATAATACACAAATATCAAAAGGAATCTGGAAAATCTCACATTCTAATCTTGAAAGTCTCACCTTCAATTAGGTATACACTATTTATAGTTGGGGTAAAAGGATTTTTATGACCTTTTTTTAACGTATGTACTTCTATCCCAATTATTTTATATAATATATTTTTATCCTATTAAATTTTTTTTGGAGGTATCGGCCTATGCCTCTTTTTTTTTTGGTGTCGGGTTTGTGTTGATGGGCATTTTGTAGTACCTGACCTTAGGCGCTCGACATGACATGACCGTAGCTCAATAGGACATTGGGCCATTGGTCCCAAACCCGACGCGTCCCCCAGCACCTAAGGACGTCAATGCCTTAACAATAAGCTAATCCTCTAACGAATAGTCTCCAAAACCCTCAATGAAGTTCATAATTCCTTTTTGACCAGTATTGGTGCCTTATGCTTCGCTCTAGGATTAAAGCGTGGGTTCAATCCTATTCCTTCCTTCACTGGGACGGACAAAAAAAAAAAAAAGCTTACACCAGTCTTGTGGAATAAATTCAAATTACAGTTTCACCCCCAAAAAAAGGAAGAAGTTTTGGGAGAATGATTCTAACAGAACAAAAAGAAAGAAATCTTAAACAATTTCCATTGTAGATAAGAAAAAGTTATAAACTCAAATATTATGAATTCGAAATTTGAATAGATCATGATGTATTTCTCATAAATTTCTTAATCCCGATTTAAATAATTTATTTTTAACTATATCATAAAAAAAATTAATCAATCGAGATACACCGCATACCAAAAAAATAAAACACAGGCAGTGACTGGTGTTGGGTTGCTCTCGAAATTGACTTGCTTAACCAAACCTTGATCTGCTACTTCTACAATTGCGTCACATTCAAGAGTATCTTACCAAGAAATTCAGCAATGCTGAGTTTTGATCATGTGAATTTGGCTAAAAAACAATTGGACCCACCAAAGTATTACCGTATTATTATTATTATTATTATTATTGCTATTATTATTATTATTATTACTTGTTAGAAGTTTTGTCCTATCATAAACAAACGAAAAGCTTAATGAACAATTCTAATGGGGTTGTGCTATATAAAATTAATACTTTCAAAATAGCAATTTAGCACAAAAATAAAATAAAATTCTCGCCAGCACCAATTATAAAATTACCGTAAATATACATAATATCATTTTCGTGTATAATTTTTTTTTTCATAAATCAAATTTGCAAAATCCAAATGACAATAAATATAATTTTATCTAAAATTAATTTTGAGCCCAATTAACTTTTGGATAAATGAGTTTATGAGACCATTTTCACCTCGGAGATAAGAGAGCTTTTAATTAGAGAGACTAAGCAATAAGGTCAAGATTTCATATGTGATCTTCTTCTTGTTCTATAATTCGTCCATGTCCATGTCATTCCTCTACGGTGATTTTTAATTTGTATCGAGAGGGATTTTTCATACTTTGTTCCTTAAAAAAATTTAAATTTTTTATTTTACACCCTCAAATATTAATTTTTTTATATTACACTCTTAATGTATCAAAAATGTTATAATGTGATCTTTTTGTTAGCATTCGTTATTTTTTCTATCAAAAATCAATTCACTGAAATTGATAGAAAAATTAACGAAAAGCTAACAAAAGAATAATATTGTAATATTTTTGGAAAAATATTATTTGAACTTTATTTGGGAACCTTATTTAGGGGCGTAATGATGTACAATTATTAGATTAGTTGTGAGTTTTATCTAACATTAAACCTTACAACTAATCAAATAGTTGAATTGAAGTCATATCATTAGATCTTTAAATTAGGTCTCTATAACATTTTACTCATATTTTTGATACATTAAAAATGCAATATAAAAAATTAAAATCTTTTGGGATATAAAGTGTAATTCACCTTTATAGAGATTTATAATTTAAAATTTATAACAATTAAGTCTTCATTACAAAAATGATAAAATAATAATTTACATTAAAAAAACAAAACCGAATCCAATTGTTAGAGACCTACAGTCATGGCCATCCGATATGCATATGAGGACGTGGGCCCCATCCTCCATAATGATGGATCACCCTCACACGTGGTTAACAACCAGTTCCACACACACAGAAAGAGAGAGAGATTCCAAAGTCGGTGAGGTGGAGACGTCTCTGTTTGGTTGAAAACAACTGTTAGGTCTACACCTGAATTAGGCGCGTGCACCGTGTCCTAAAATTCAGTAAAATCCCAATTAGTGTAGTGGTTATTAGCCTAATGCAACTTGGATTTCTTTCTAAATAAACTACCCTAATTTCAATTACCACTCGCTTATAAAACGCGTAGACATTAATTAACACCTATTAGTTCTGCAGTAGCTGTCTCCTCTCCTCACCCTTTGCCATTCCACCTTCCATTTTTTCATCACCTCATCATATTCCCCCTCTTCTCAATTCTCTTTCTCTCTCTCTTCCCTACCATTCATATATCTTCTATAGATTTATAGCAGAAATACCCTAACCCTACTCAATTAACAAGAGAGAGAGAGAGAAACTATCCACCATGACAGATAGAGTCTACCCTTCCGCCAAACCCGCCGCCAACGGCACCACCACTGCCGCCGCCGCCGTCAGCAACAAGGCCAACGGCGGAGCCCCAACATTCCCCGCCACCAAAGCTCAACTCTACAACACCACGCGCCCCCTATACCGCCCCCAACCGCCTCCACGCCGCAGAAGTGGCCGTAGCTGCTGCTGCCGATGCTGCCTCTGGACCACCTTCACCATCCTTCTCATCATCCTCCTAGCCGCCATCGCCGGTGCTGTCGTCTGGGTTCTCTATCGCCCCCACCGCCCCTCTTTCTCTGTCTCGTCTTTCCAAGTATCTCAATTCAATATCACCTCATCGTCCCAAGACTCCCAACTCAACTCCAAGTTCAACCTCACCGTATCAGCTCGGAACCCCAACGGAAAAATCATCTTTCTCTACGATCCCATCACAGTTTCTATAACTTCTGATGGAGTTGACATTGGAGATGGATCTTTTCCGGGATTTGTGCATGGGAAAAAGAACACGACTACGCTGAGAACAGTGATCACAAGCGCCGGTCAAAGTTTGGATAGTACGGCCGTTAATTCACTGAAGAACAAGAAGAGTCTGCCATTGAAGATAAAGCTGGATACGAAGGTGAAAGTGAAGATCGGAAGTTTGAAGACGACGAAGGTGGGGATTAGGGTTTCTTGTGATGGCATTAAAACTGCTCTGCCCACCGGAAAGTCGGCGGCGACTGCGACGACTTCTGATGCGAAGTGCAAAGTAGATCTACGGATCAAGATCTGGAAATGGACTGTCTGAGCAAAAGTTTAGAAGTTGTGTGGTTATTGTTAATTTGTTTTTCTTTTTTTTTTTTTACTTTTTTCTTGAATTTGATATAATTCATTTCTTTTTTTTTTTTGGTTATGAATATGTGTCTACAAAATGGAGGAAGCTTTTTGGATATATAGAACCTTATAATTTTACATACATAAATTGCATAGAAATAGTGTTTTGATAGGGGTTTGAGATAGTTCTTCACTATTTTTTTATTTTTGGGTAAGTAGTATAATTATTCATTATTGTTGTTTGTGAGATTTAATAAATTGTGTCATTATATAAATAAATTAAAATAAAAATTTTAATTTAAATGACATTACTCTTTAATTAGAGTGCAATACTTTACCCTTTGTTTGGGTGTTGCATTGGACGGCGAAAAGATTCGGCATATTGTTACTGTTTAATTTAAGATTGACTTAGATTTAAATTCATTACCATTTGTATCTTCGTGGCACAAAAACATAGGTAAAATATAAACTCATTTAACCAATCCATGAGTCGAGTCCGGTTAATGATATTTTTTTAGTTCGTCTACATATGTAAATATGTACTTTGGCATATAATTGAATTGAATTGCACTTGATATTATACAGGTTTGAGCTCGAATTTATTAGTTTGAATCTTAACAAATTTTATCCCCAGTCCACTTAATGGGGAAGCTTGAATTAAATTTGTAGGGGGAAATATTGACAAACAAATTAAGGTAAATCTGAAATGAAAATTTGCATATTGGCATTATTGAAGAGGTTTTTTTTTTTTTTTTTGGAAGGGGAGGGGAATGGTGTAGGATCCAAATGAAGCTTTTAGTAGCCTTGTAGAGAAAGCATGAGAAGGTGGGTAAGTGGGGCCATAGTAAGTATGATGTACAACAATGGGGCCCCACATGATGAGATAGAATAGAATTGTGATGGCCACTTGCCAGCAGCATAAACAAGCATAAAAAAATGAGGTAATAAATGAAAAAAAAAAAGAAAAATGATTAGTTTATTTATTTTGAGGTATTATTGGGTGCATTGCAAGGAAGTCGCCGCCTGCTAGTGTCGGTGAGTTGTTATATGCCACAATTAGCGTGCTTGCCCGAGTTCGGATATGGACCCCAGTTAAATCCAGATCATGGTTTCCCCCACACATATTCTCATTTAAAAATGCAATTTGTCCCCGTTTAAGAATTTAATTTGAAGATTTATTAAATTTAATATTAGAAAGAATTCAAATTAATTTAATAACTATAATAAACTAGACCCTTAACTATGTCTTCAAAATAGGTTACATTTTTTATGTAAATTACGAGTCTCATATAATTTGATGGAAGAGTTTGAGTTATTTGCACCAAGTCCGACAGTATGTTGCAACGCTATGGCACATTCTTAATGGATTTAAATTCTTTTTATTATCCTCTTATTTTTTTTATTGTTGATGGTATTTTAATCATTTTTAAGAAAAATTCTCATAAACAAAAAAGTCTTCTCCAATAAAATTAAAAATTTACACATGCCACCTATATCTCAATGTTTTACAACCAATATCACAACCTTAAATCATGATTTAAATTCAAATATTCTCTAATTTATATTTTTTTTTCAATTTTGTCTAAGGATAAGATAATTATTATGTAAGGATGACGACCGCACTTACAGAAAAAAAGTCTTACTTAAATTAACAAAACAGAATTTAGATTTAAATAATATATATATCATAGTAGATCTCTAAGTGTTTAGCTCGTTAACCAAAATAAGCAATGCTATTTGCCATAATTTATTGATCTAATCATTCATAATAATTGAATTGACAGAGAGTTTAATATTTGTTGAGATTCACAATCAACTCAATAATTCTGTTAAATTAGGTCAATAAATTAAATTTAAATAATATTATTAAATTAGAATTGACGTGCCTCAGAGAGAGAGAGAGAGAGAGAGACCAATGGGTGGTTAGTACATTATTGTATTCTCTCTATGAAAGCAAAGCATATGCCGAGACATATGTACATGTGAGCAACAACATTCAACAATTAGTGACTGCATACCACGTCGGCCATGTAAATGGAATTGGACTCCTCATGAATATCATGATCGGGCACGTGAACATACATGTTATCCACCCAAATATTGTGGCACCATATTTTAGGCAACAGAAGAAGAATTTTAAGTTTAATACTTTCCATATTTTTTAAGGATATGTCATTCTTATTTTTTAAAGGACCTGTCCTAAACTTGTTCGAACTACGATAGTCAATATCTGAACTTGAGAGAGTAGTCGATACAAATATAAATATCATGTAACAAAAATTTTAAAAAAAACCAAGAATTTTAGGCTTAGTGCCAAAATGGAATGATCAAATTGAGATTGAGGTGACAAATCCATATACTTGTCTCTTGCTAGTAAGGAAACAGAACTTCTAGAATATGTATGTGACAATTTTACCATAATATCTGATTTTTGGAACATAATAGAAAATATTTTAAGGGTAATGCTATGTTTACCATTTTTTTTTACTAAATCTACATTTGAAATGATGTGGCACATTTTTTACCATCAGATAAACATATCTCATTAATATTCAATAACGGAGATTGTACCACATCATTTACTTTAGTAAAATTTTTGATAAACATAATATTTTTCATATTTTAATAGTGGGGTAGAGGACATTGTCACACCAACTTGTGGTTATATATTCACATATTCACTCCTACAAGAAACATTAGTACTGTAGTTTTAGTTTGTAATAAGAAGGAACACCTTGCAATAGTATCCTTGGGGCTGTTTGTTTTGAGGTATAATATTAAGTGGTATAAGATTTTATATTTATTTTATTTTGATCCAATGATATATTATTCTCGATCTTAAATTATAATTTCATCATTCCCCTTATTTGTTTGTCACAAATAATACCTACTTAAAAAAATCAAAAATTACAACTGACTTTTATATGGGTCATTTTATATGAGGGCAATTGGGTCTTTTTACCATAATATACCTCCATGAAATTTATACCACTAGGTAGCTGGTATTGAATAGCACCGTATAAAAGATATTAGTGTTATTGTTCACACCGGGTCAGTACTATGACCTAAAAATTAATATCTAATAAAAAATATCAAATAAATAAGATATAAGATATAAGATAAACCTCACGTACTATTTTTCTTATACCACTCATATCCCTCGAACGAACAATCCCTTGGTATTTTAGTCAATGAAGTATAAAAGCTGGCGTTTACTTGTAGGCCACTGATATAGGTTTTTTTGTTTTTTTTTTCGGTTTTTTTGCAGGGGTGATCAAATCAACTTCGGCTAATACCCTTTTAAGTTCGGATAAAGACAGGTCATTTACTCCGGAATTTAAAAATTCACGAGAAATAAATTTTTCATGATCTAACCCTAATAAAATTGTCAAATTTAAAGTTTAAAATATTTAAATTTACAACCGGTTCATATTTTTAATAGAGTACCCCTTAAATTTCAAACTTGATAGATATAGCCGCAACTCCACATCAATGACTCCATAATTTGACCATAATTCAAAATAAAATACAATCCGTGGACCATTGTCGTGTTGCCTAGTGCTGGACGGTGTCAATCAAGCAGTGGGGTTTGATTTGGCCACCTTTAGGAAACAATTAGAGCCCCAACTACCCTTCTGAAAGTTGGGTGGTTAATAAATCACCGCTAGGCATTACTTACACAGCAATGGTACATTTCATCCTGTGCTTATAAAATTGTTTAGGCTGGTCTCAAAATTTGACTTTATGTCATAGTCTCTCACAAAAAGGAATATGACTTTTTGTACCCATTGAACATCAAACCAAATTATAATAATCCAAGTTGGGATTGTGAAACTGGCCTTCTTTTTTTTTTTAATGAGGGTGTTCTTAGTTTTAACCTAAATTACTTAGAGTGGAAGCGAAATTAAAATGCGAGAGCAAGAGTGGGAGTGTGAAAGTGAAATTTTTCAAAAAAAAAAAGAGGAGAGTAGGTGTGTCACTTAGAATGTCAAAAAATGAGAAATCAAATTATTTATTAATAGTAAAGAAATAAAGAAAGGATTTAAGAAATAGGGAAAGGTTTCCCCCACGTCGGTAATTTTAACAATGTGTTGAATGACAACAACCTATAGTTGGAACAAATCTCACATTGGTAGCTTAGGAGAATGTTCAATGGGTAGATAACTATAAGTAGACGGGTTTTTTGGAAGTTGGTACACTTTTTAAGATTTATTAAACTAAAGTCCAAGTAAAAAAATAATTTGGCTAAAAGTCAATTTGAGAACAAATGTCTAATATACCCTTAACAACAAAATAAATGTGCTCATAAAACCAATTAGGAAACTTTACTTATAATTAAAACACATTTGAAACTAAAATTCCTAAATTTAAGGGTTTAGGAATTTACTCTCATAATATTAATTTACACTACAAAAAAATGCGACATAAAAAAACAGTGACACAACGAAAAAATAATGACAGAATTAAAAAAAAAACAGTGAGAAAAACCATGACACATGGAGAAAACAATGACAAATGAAAAAAAAATGATAAACAACCCCGAATCTTGAAAAACAATAAAATTTGATAGAAAAGAGATAACTTGAGATGATAATGAAATAAAAAATCATGCATTGTTCTTGATAATATGGCATCTTGGCAAGAACCAGCGTAATTGGAACCCTCAATAGAAACATAGCATTATTCAATAACATTATCTAAGCAAGGGCTCCATCACTCGAAGTAGCTAGCTCAACCATTCGATTATGATTCTTCTTCTTCGTCAGAACCATAATCTCTTGATTAGATACTATTGAGACTGAGCAGTGTACACGCAATGCCACATTTTCGTGTTTCTTTAATAGAGAGAAAATAAAGGGGAGAATGAAAGAGAGAGAAAAAAAGGATAGAGTAATAGTGCTTTGAATACATAAGAGAGGGAGAACGAGTTTGACAGGAAAAATAAGGGGAAAAGAGTGAGAGATGACATATTAA